TTTATTTTTAGTTTTTGTTGACTTTTCAGTTAGTAATTTTAATGCTAAACCTAAACTTATTTCAGTTTATTGCCAGTGCAACATTTCTAATTTTCATTTAGTTTTTTATTTAGTAGTTAGATTTTATCTTATTTCAGTTTTATTTCAGTGAACAAAATAATTTTTAATAGTTTTAGTTAATAATAAACCTGGTCCAGAGTGAGCAGAGCTGGAATCTAGACAAATAAGCAGCTCAAAAATAAGAGAGTTTTCATTTGTGTCATGCTTTCATCACCTCATCATTCCTAATTTGTCTAATTTTAGAGTTTTTATTAATGCACTATTACATGAAATATATATTTTTTTGTGAATGTGAAATGTGTTGGTAATCTAGTGAATTGATTTGAAGTGTGTGTGTGTGTGTGTGTCAGTCTGCAGACGCTGCAGGAGGATCTGTTAGTGGCGACAGCAGACGGTTACCTGCACATGCTGCACTGGGACAGCGTGAGTAACGGCCGGAGAGCGGTCAACCTGTGCACCATCCCGTTCTCCCTCGACCTGCAGTCCTCCAGAGGTCAGACCTGCTTCACAAACACTCTCCAGACGCTCCTGACCCTTGAACACGTGTCTGTTCCCGTGTGTTTGTCTGTTGCATGACGTGACGTGTCTTTGTGTTTGCTCTAGGAGGGCCGTGTTTGGATCTGGACGGTGTTCACATTCGGGATATGGAGTATTGCAATACGCTGGATGGGTTTGCTGTCGTATTTGATGACGGGCGACTGGGATTCATAACACCAACCGCAAACAGACTCGCCACAGACGTAAGAGAGAGTTTATTATTAATTAAACAATTATTATTCACATCTGTGACCACAGAAGAAGTGTTTATGCTCATGTCTGCTGTACGCCTCTTGTGGCAGCACTGAGAATGCACCATACGTTTAGTTTGCTATTATGAGTTCAGAAAGCATCTGATCTCGATGTGGTAATGTTGCATGCGTGTGTGTTCTGTGCAGCAGCTGCAGGGCGTTTGGGCCGCAGACGTCTCTGATGGCACGTGTGTCGCCGTCAACAACAAATACAGACTCATGGCCTTCGGATGTGCAAGGTGTGTGTGTGTGCGTGTCATTTTACAGTGCTGTATTTATATCAGACCTGTGCATCTTTTTATATTTGTGTGGCTGTTGTTTGCTTTTTGAGGATTTTATAGTGTTCTATTTAGAAAATGTAGGGATTTGAAAGTTGTGAAAAGGCATGAAAATTAATACAACCTTCAAAATGAATGAAAATACACTACCATTCAAATTTGGGTAATTAAGATTATGTAATGTTTTTGAAGGAAGTCTCTTCTGTTCTAATATAATGTAAACTGTAATTTATTCCTGTGATCAAAGCTGTATTTTCAGCATCATTACTCCAGTCTTCAGTGTCACATGATCTTCAGAAATCATTCTAATATGCTGATTTGCTGCTCAAGAAACATTTCTGATTATTATCAGTGTTGAAAACCGTTGTGCTGTCAAATATTTTTGTGGAAACAGTGATGCATTTTATTTTTTATAATTCTTTGATGAATAGAAAGTTCAAAAGAACAGCATTTATTTGAAATAGAAATCTTTTGCAACATTATAAATGACTTTACTGTGACTTTTGATCAATTTAATGCATCCTTGCTGAATAAAACTATTAAATTCGTTACAAAAAAACAAAAAAAAAACTTTTGAAGGGTAGTATATCTGTAGTAATAATAAGTGTGTGAACCCTGTGTATTGTGTCTGTGTGCTGAGTTCATGTTGTGTGTGTGTCGCAGCGGGTCAGTGTTGGTGTACATGATTGACAGCTCCACAGGATCGATGCAGCTCTCTCATAAACTGGAGTTAACCCCGAAACACTACCCAGGTGAGACACACACTCACCACTGACGATGTTTAACATTAAACAGCAGTCGAACCACAGGAAGTGGCATCAGTCCAACCCACAATCCACAAAAGCCACGCAGCCTTTGTCACACACACAGGATGATCCTTTTATTTACTGTTAGTATGTTTATCCTCTCTTATCGAGAGTTTGGCTATGATCCTCTGATGCCCCCTGATGGCTGCAGTGGGAACATGAACATCTGACACATCTGATGGCAGTCAAGTCAGTGTTCCTCTCAGAAGTGTCTCTTATTTACAGCTTTGTTACAGTGGTTTATATCAGTTCAGCGGGAAACAAAGTATCCAATCAGATTGCAGCTAGTGATGTTTAAATAGATAATAAACATCTTATTTTTCTCTTTAACTTCTATCAGACACTAGATCCCCAAGATATGATGTCTAAGGCTGAAACTGTTTTCCTGCCATATTTTAGATTTTTGTACTAAATTCCAGATTGTTTTATTTCGTAGGATTTTTTTTTCTTTTTTTTTTAAAATTCTGTTGATTTTTATGAAGTGTGGCCAGATTTTTTTTTAGATTTTTTTTTTTTTTTCAATAAGAATTTTTAAATTCTTTAAAATTGATCATTTATATATATTTTTTCTTTTCATATTTTACTTGCTATGAAAATATCCATGGTAGCTGGTATGGCATTAAATTATTAAATATAAAAAATTAAAGAGAATAATTTGCAACAACTAAATTTAGTAACTTTTGTTTTACACTTGGTTGATGAATGTTCAGAGCAGTGTTATTTTAGTATTATTTATATACTATTATAGTATTTATTAATATTTTGAATTAGCTTTTATTTATATATTTTAATTTTAAAAAAATTATGTGCTTCTGTCACTTTTATTAGTTTTTGTATTTGATTTTTGTATTTATTTTTATAAATTTTTTTGCATCTGTTTATTTCAGTTTTAGTTTCATTTTTAGTTTTATTTCCAGTTGTATTTACATAAAAGATGTTTAATTTACTT